CTTTAAAGCCACCGTATTGATTTTATGTAAAAGAACAGGATGTGACAGCAAACTGAAGAGCTGTCAGAGAGAACAGAGCTGCGGCTGCCTCAGCGACCACTACATGTACACGCAGATATAAATAAACAACAATGCCCACTCGCAGAGGAGCGCTTCGACTCGTGGCCTTTTGTTCTGCAACACTACAACTCTTCAGACTAAATAAAAGAGACAAGGGCCGAGTACTTTGCACACACACCGTTCATCCCAACATACACACACACACACACACACACACACACATAACGCAACACAACACACAAGATAACCGTTGCTGCTGATATCTATAGAAGGCAGGTGATTGCGGGGGCTCCTCGCGGGGGAGATAAGCCCGATCAATAACAAAAACACGAGGAAACGATAAGTCTGAGCTGAAGTGAACACACCACGTCTGACTCACAGGGAAGAAAGGCCACATTCGTTAACAAGACAATAGTCCCAGGATGAGATTCTGCCAGAGTTAGAGATCGGCTATTTCCATCTGCCCTCTGAGTTGGTGACATTTAGAGACAAAGGCCCCCGTATGGGGTCTGTGCAGCCTCCTACACTCTCAGACCTTTCCCCTCTGAAGGTCAGGGGGGTCCCGCCTGTCTCATGAGGATACAACTATTGTCCAGCAGTCAGGTGGCAGGTCAACCTAACATTGCAATCTGTAAAAACTAGGCATAGTAGATTTTACTATGATTAAACAATAAATATCTACCAGATCTGCTTCATCTGGCAGCAGATGATATTTTGATTGATAGAAATAAGTGTGTGGGCCCAAGACTAGCTCCTCATTATGCCAAATCCACCCATACACACTCACACTTAAACTGTTATATATCATCAATTACATGAGCTATCTTATTTAAGTCGTTCAAGAGTTGTTTCTGTTTTCTGACAGATGATGTTCACTAGGTTTAAGCTTCATCTTTAAAATGAAAATCAAAGGTATTGCCTAATGTCCACACAATCATGGCGTGGCTGACAGCAGGTGTGATGTTTGCTGCAAGTGGAAAGATCTCTGACCTCCGAGGGTCAGACAAGATGACATTTGTTGCCTTAGCTTAGATACCCGTATGTTGCCATATAATATTGGTTTATAATGTTGAGGACATTCCAGTTGTTATTCTGTTATTAGTAGACCTGGTTTTCCTGCCTTATCTATTTCTGCTTGAGTCAGTGTTCCTACATGTCCCAGGATGCCTTTTGACACTGTCCACATTTATATTTTACTTGTATGCATTACAAAACACTGCAATATATCGAAATATATACTGAACACAGTGACATTGTGAAATTGTGGATTATTCTTTAAAGCTGTATTAATCTTTTTTTTTTTTTACTACTTGGGGAAACAGAACAACAACACAAACAGTGGCATTTTATCATCTTGTAAAGCTGAGCAAAGCAAACAGTTGCTTATTTACACATACTGCAGACACTGACCAATATTAAAATTCACACCTGATGAAATTAAGTCTAATATCTTCTTTCTTTGTAGCTCTGTTTTGGTTTCCACCGAAAAATGTCTGCCTCTTTTCAGCTGCTAAATGCTGCAGTATGTTGAACAGCTAGCCACTAAGCATGCCTCCCTGCTGTCTGGGGCTGAGCAGGTAGCAGCGTTCAGTGGGTTTATCAAAACCTTTTCTGACAACAGCTGTCTGCTGCTGCTGGAAACAAGGTTAATGAGAACAATGAGACTGAACCGAAACAGTTGAACACTCCCCTACAGCTCTGTAGGTTTGTCGCTTCAAGCAACTCCTTTCACAATACACACAGTAATTTGATCCGTAGATACTATTAAAATATTGATTGGATAAATAAACCTACCGCTTACCCAGGTCGCCCAGTTTTAACATATGAAGTTGTCATTTTATTATGTCAAAAACACTTTCAAAGATCAACCTTAAGCTATAAGGAAACACCTGTCACTTGGGGATAATGATTAACTTGGGTGTGTTCTCTGTCTTGGTACTTGGAAAATAACTGAGTCCAAGCTTGTCAGCCCTGCTACTTGACCCAGCCGAATCTGTGCAAAATAAATCAATGTTTTACTGAGGCTAATTCAGTCTGAGCTGCTGTCAAACTCACACGAGACCGTGAGGATAACCACATGTCTGTGTGGAGTGGTTAGTCAGTGGGCTTAAATAACTGATCAGCTGGTGCAGAATTCCATAGGAAACATGTGTTCTGGTTACTTGCACAGATGAACACTTTCTTTTGATTCCAGTGACAGTAAAGCCATGCAAACTATTACCATTCACTGTGATGGCTTTGAGCCGTGAAGGCTAAACAGCCTTATATCCAACAGTGGCAGAATCAAGGCAGACAGCCCTGCACGCTTGGCCAGGTCCCACAGTGATTTTCCCAACCCGGCCAGACTTTAATCGCAGCGACAGACGGCCCACAGAGCGGATCAGGCCAGCCACCGGCAAAGGGATAACTGAGGAGTGAAAGCACGAAGTGTAAGAGCATGACACTTTCTCCTCAGAGTGATTAGGCATGGCCTTGTCTATAAAGAGTCTATGAGATGAGTGCAGACGGGAGAGAGAGAGTAGGGTAATAGGATGAGCTGAAGATTAGGAGCAAACAGCCAGAAAATGTGGGGAGAGGGGAGGAAAATCTGAGTAGAGTAAGAAACAGAGTTGAGGAGGGGAGACAGACCAAACCCACTGAGTGGAAGAAAGGCTGATTAGTGTTTGATTAGCTGGCTGGCCTGAGGGGAAATCTCTGTCAACCAACACAGTGCCATTACGGCCGTGCTCTCCCCACTGCACCATCTGCTAGACTGTAATATGCATGACTGACCCGCCATCCACTTACGTGCTACAAAAAAAGAAAAAGACTAACAGCACACTACGTTGCGGCTTAAAGTGGTGTCAAGGATGATGGATTTATTAGACTGTGACAGGGTAAAACATTTAGGTGCACCTTATGTGAGTATTCAAATGACAACAAACAAACTGTGGGAGTACGGAGGAGTAAAGTTCATTCAAACTCACTGTGCCTCACGAGGAGGAGTCGGTATACTCTAATCTTTCCATTAGGCAACACTAAGCAAATGGTCAGCAGACATCTGATGGTCAGCAGAATTAGTGTTTCATCAGCTGCCCATGCTTTAAGGAGACATGTATGCACACGCACACACACAGACACACAAACACACAGGGGAGTGTCAGCCCCCTGGGAGCTCAAACAGCTGAAGGAAGACACAGCACATCAGCTGTCAGGGCCGATTCAGCTGAGAGAAGAGCTGTGCTAATAGGTTGTCGTCAAAAACGTCTCCACAAGCTTTTAGCCAGCAGACAGACTTTTCAATATTGACATCTTTTGACAGAATTCCTTCAAATTGATACGCGACGATATTTTAGGGGTGACTCTGTGGTTTTGAGAGGATAAATCACATAATAGGCCTCAAAGTGACAACTGACATTATTACTGAAAATATTTAATTATCAATCTAAAATGTTAACAATGACAAAATGAGTTCGTCACAGGGAACCAACGCTCAAAGTGATGTTTAAAGTGACATTCGAAAAAAACCAAAAACAAATTCACTTCACAATGTCACTAAACTGAGAGAAGCAACTTAACCTATAAGAAGCTGCTACTTTTACTTGATAAATTATAAACTAATCTTTTTTTTTTTTTTTTTTTTTTAGTTGATCCACTTATTCCTTCCGAAGTTAAGGTCAAAACTGTTCAATCCGAGAAGGTACACCAGGTGTGTCACTTTGTGTCAATGCAGCCTTAAAGGGTCAGTTCACCCAAATCACAGAAACCACATTTTCTCAAATCACACTAACGGTTTCTACCCATGCCTATAGTTTGTGTTAATGAATTAAATCAAAACTCAAAACTGAAACACAAACAAAAAAGAAAATTGAGCATGGGGTCAAGAGTGCTGAGGTAAATGTTAGAGTATGATTTTGGATGTTGGAGCTCTTATTGCAAAATCTGACCTCTCAGCCCCAACCAGCCTCCCAGCCCTCAGTCACCTCTGTGTCATACAGAAGGAGGCTGGATGGGATGGAGAAATGTATTTTTGTGTGGTGACTTTCAACCCTAAACAATAATTAAGCTGTCGGAGTGATCGCCATGCACTGATCATCAGTCATACATGCTCACACCAGCGCAGACAGCAGTATATCAACCCACTATCACTTTGAATTCTCCTATAATCCCTTTCCTAAATTACAGGAATGGTTACCATGCCGTCTCCAACAACATCTATTGTCTCCCTATTGTCAGACCTGCTCCTTCGCTTGCGTCAGCTCGCACACCATAACCACCACAGTCAAAAGGACTCTTCCTGCAACGCTCTATGAGTCCTCAGGTCAGAGGTCACCTGTGGCCTCTGGTCTCCACGACGACAGCCAGGCAGTCCCCAAAACTGAGCTGGAGTCCTCCTCCCCCTCGACTTCACCCTCCACCCACACACAAACACACTCTCACACACAGAAACAGCTTTTGTCCCCAAACTCCTGTGCATCAAAGGAGACCCTGGAGAGTGAGCTTCAACCCAAACATTTACAGCCGTGCAGGACAAACACTATTCAGTACACTGCAGGGGAAGAGCAGGAGACCACCACTGCTGCAAAGTGACAAGAGATAAATGGCACAACAACAAAAAAAAGATCACTGCTCCTCCATCAGTCTTCTCTCTCTCTCACACACAGACTGGAAAACCTTTCAGATTGTGAGGATTAGCCCTGATCTGAGCGCTCAAACTCTGGGGTCCAGTTGAGAGCAACACTGTGTCTTTAGGCTACAGGCTTTGACCTGAGCAGCCGAGCTTATCCTCAAGTTTATTACACCCAGGTCTCGTCTGCAGAAAGTTTGGAACATGTCACCATCATGAACCACAACACACCATGCACCAATACTGGCACAGATTCCCGGCTGCAGAGCTGCATGGTTGTAGGGGGCTTGTGGGGGGGGCGGATGATGAAAAGATTAGAAAAACTGGCACTCACCATATTCAGCATGCAGGACATCTCTTGGTCAACACTGGTACTCTACTGCAGTTTTTGTCAGTCGCTGGTTATATAATGAAACAACCGGTGTTTACGTGGCTCCGCAGGATATTTTCCAGGAGTCGGTGCGGAACAGGAGACGGAGCTCAGCCTGCTGCTGGCGGCGTGGAGAGAGAGGAGCGCAGACTGGGACTCTTTTCCCTCTCGGAGGTTTGAACAGCGGAGACAGCGGAGTGAGAGGAAACATGAGGGGCAGGGAGACATGTGCCTGTCCCCCGGTAACTGGACTGACACACTTACATTTGTAAAGCGGGACGGCGCCATCTAGCGGCAGGGTACGTAGGTGCGATAAACAAAAATTCAGAAGCAGCGAAGAGAAGTACCCGCCTCATATTTAATACCAGGGCTGAATTACCAACAGGCGTAAAGTGGGCGCCTGCCTCTTAGGCCCCAGACGGTCCCCTGGGCAGGTGTTATTGCTTTAATATGTCCTGTCGTTTTGTTTCAATACCCCTACTTGTTAATGACTGTGAGCTGCATTTTATGCAGCTATATAAATAAAGTGTAGTATAGTTGTAACATGGGGAGAGTTGTAATACCGACAACTAACAGCAAACAGGGATAAAGTAAGTCATAAGATGATGTCATTGTTTACCCACGTCCTCCCTGGTACCACATGGTGGTTGTCAAGGCTGGAAACAGGCCATGCAGATTGGAAAAAAAAAGTTTTTAGGTAAGAAAGTACATTTTTTGACCAAGATAATATTTTGTTTAGTGCTTCGGCAATTTCAGCTAAATTCATATGACTTAGATTAAATTGTACTTTCTCAGGCAAAATGTGATGCATTTTCCCCTGCTAATACAGCAAACTAAACAATGGCTGACAGGGGTGGGATAGGTTGTAACAAATCTTTAAAAAGTATTACAGCCATTCTTTTACATACAATTAAGAACACTTTATTGATTTAAATAGTAATAATAATGATTTTACAGAATACCTTGGCAGTGGAAAAGAAACACTGACAGAGGTGTGCCTGCCAATGTTTTGAAAAAAGCATGTGATGAGGTCCTAAAGAAGGGCAACCAACGTCACCACGACATTTTTGCTTTTGTCTAACTGTTACAACTTACCCCAGCATGTGTTGCAGCCTACCCTGGTGGTAGGGTAGGTTTTAACAAAGGACATCAACTCAAGAAGTCTGTGATGCTCTTGCTGAAGTTTGAATTGTTGCCATTTTCTAGTATAAGAATTAGAGAAATCTTCAAAATTTCAGTGAGATAAAGGTGCTGAAGCAAGAAGTTTTACAACCTAGTCTTCCCTATTATTATTATTATTATTATTATCATCAACAATATTATAATTTCATTATGATAATTTTTGATCAATTTAACTAAATGGGAGAAATATGTCACGCTGATGCTGTGAAAATGAACCATGTACTTTATATTCATCATCATCATCATCATTATCATAACAGTTTGTCTTTATTTTATTTTTATTCTTTATACTTTCGCCTTTGCCATGATCATGCGAAATCAGAAATAACTAGAAGAAGACAGGAAACAAAGTGTGTATATGTACTGTAACATTTAATATACAAGATTGATGTGCAACATACATTCATCTAAACAACAAAATCTCTGTTATGATTGTAACGGTGCAGTGTGTTTTATAATCTCAGACGAAAACGTTCATCTTTTGTTGTCACCTTATCTCCACTCTCTTTCTCTCCCTCTGTCTCTTCTGGTTTTGTCATATAGCTGTGGTGGATCATGGTTTCTGCGGTTTTGCTTTGGGGACCACTTTAACGGTGGTGGATACTGATTTGGCTCCTTGCAGGTTCTGAGCGGTGCAGGTGTATGTGCCCTGGTCCACATCCCTCACCTCATCCACCAGGAGAACAGACTGAGACTGCTGTCGAGCCGCTCCTCCACCGTCTGGACTTACGCTCTCCTGTGTGTACAGAGGCCTCCCTATCTGCAAGCAGCACAGGTGCTCCATTCAGAAACAAACACATACTTCACAGCAGGGGCGTGAGCTACCTGTTTACAATAAGCCATTCAGTCTGCAGTTGACTTATTAGTAAGTCATTATACAGGCCTGGATGCTCCGCAGTCCATAGGTTGAATGCCTCTTAAGTAATAATGAACTAGCTAAAAGCACAAAGTAAGCTGTAATGACAGGATGTACACTGCCTGCACACATCCTTCACTTCATTTGTCTCACAACCAACCTGAAATTTGCATGTTTCTTATGCATCAAAATGTCTCATTACTGCTCTGTAGCATTAGTAAACGACTAATTGACATTATCAAAATGTTTAGTTAAACCCATTGAAAGTACACTGTGTTGTAAAGTATTGCAGTAAGTTAATCATCATCCCTGTCTCCATGAGCATCTGACCTGCTGTCCTGGGTATTCCCACGTGAACTCCACGACCACATCCTGTTCTCCGACCACACTGCAGCTGACACGCAGGTTCTCCCCCGCAGCCAGCGAAGGCGATGAGGCCTGGATCACCGGGGCAGGAGGAGCCATGGGGTCTGATGGCAAATGTGGAATATCATTGAGTTCTGTAAGTGATAAGTCACGTCAAACAATAAATTAGCATTAGTGACATTAGACAGCGTAATGAAAGTGAGAGGAATTTGAATGTTCTGCCCGTTTTGTCTGGGTTTCTCCTGCAGTCTTGAAAATGCACGTATGTTTGGAGTTCTACATGTGCCCTCTTCAAGTAGTAGTACTAATACAAATACTTGTAATGGCGCAATTAACAAGTACTTTTATTCTTGATTAATCTGTTGTTCCTTAGTAGAAAACAAAAAACGAGAAAAAGGCAATATTTTTCTGGAGGAAATGCACTGCTGAAATTTTGCAGTTGAAACAAATTGAAATCCTGAAACAGCTGAAGCTGTGCTGGATACAGAAATACAAAAACTAAATAAGCTGAATTAGCAGTTAGAGTGAAGGTGCTGAATCAAGATGAAGTGTCAGTTTAAGTGTAAGCGCTGAGTGTTGTTGTTGAACTCTAGACTGAAATGAAAGTGGAGAAAGGATTCGGCTGATGTGTCAGTCCAAGTGTAGGTGATATACCTGGAAGTATATATTGTTCAAGCAAGTGTGTAACCTGAAAGTTCAGTACATCAGTGTAAACACTGAAAGCGGTTGGAGTGAACTGTGTATGAACATTGGGAAATGGTGGGAGTTAGAGGAGCTGGAGAGTTTCTTTAGTAAATTGTTAAAAGTGTGAAAACCTGCGGCCTGGAAGGGTTTGAAGTGTCAGTCAGTGCAGGTGAAAGCGTTGACAGTAGTTAAACTGTCAGAAGATCGACAGAAAAAACAGAAAAAACAACAATATAAAACAGAAAAAAGGAGACTCCATGTGATTCAGGTGTGATTGTGTACATTTTTCAGCCTTGTGTTGTTTGGCTGCCTGTAGGTCGTTTTTCCCAGCTCTCTGTCTAATGCATGCTGGGATATGCTACACACCCTCTTGTCTCTGAACAGGAACAAGCAGACAAAGGCAACAAATAAAAGCATAATTGTGGAAATGGGTGACTCACAGTTGACATAGATGAGCATGTACTTGGTGGAGCTCTGCCTCAGGTTGCCCAGACTGGCCACACAGTACAGGGCTCCAGCGTGATGAGGCCGGGGTCGATGGATGGTGAAGCCCTTCATGACATTAAAGGAGATCTCCCTCCCATCCACCGCCACCTCCACCGGCGGATACTCACGGTGCAGAGTTACTTTGGCGTCGGGTGATGTAACCTGGCAGGGAAGGACCGTTGGCCAGTTGGTTCTCAGCTGTATCACCTCATAGTAGTCAGACGACGGAACAAATAGTTCCTGTGGGTCTGTTTGGTACAGCAAGGAGATAATGCAGATTGATGATAAGATATCATGTGGATGTTATTAGGCTTCCTATCAAGCTGGCGGTGAAATAAAGCGGAGGCCTGCGGGTCGGAAAAGTGCATGTGTAAGCATCAATAAAGTTTATTCATTGTACCGGGAAAGAAGACGAAGACCTTGACAGCTTTGCCATATTCCTTCCTGCAGTCTGTGTCTTCGCAGTACATTGGGTAACAGGTGTACTCCCCTGTGTCTGCACCAGTGGTGTTGACTAATGTCAGAGCGCCATACCGTTCATGTTGGACGGTGCTGCAGAGCAAAAAGAGGAAAATGTCAGAGAACAAACACATCTCCAACAGATTTTTTTAATCAGTCTGTCACTTGATTAATAAATTTTACATCATGCAAAATAAACCTGTATCTACCGGGGAGCTTACCTGAGCCTCCCATCATCCTCCTCCTCCAGGTAGGAGGGGACGCTCCACTGCACAGGTTTGCCCCTGCACCTCAGCTCCAGAATTTCTCCCGACTGCACGCTTATAGTTTCTCCCACCTTCTTAAACTTCCCTTTGTTTAGCACCTTCAGTGTGTCGGATACAAAATCATGCAGTTATCCATTCAATTACACACACAGTCACACACACTCAGTTCTTTTTCTGTGTTTAACAAATCTTTTGTGTACCTGTGTGAGTAAGGTCTGTGTCTGGGCTGCAGGTGAAGCTTTGATCTTGGTTGTTGCGGCTCTGGGCCCTTTAGTTGTTGATTTTCCAGGTTTGGGTTTGCTTGGCTTGGGCTTCCTCTCTGGAGTGGGCCTCTTTTCTTGGGCATCTTTTTGACAATAAGCTACGCAAGGTACAGAGCACATGACGCATCAATAAATACAGATACAGTTAAGTGTTTAATGATATGAGTGATAAGTAGTTCTTAATAAAAAGAACATCGTATGATTGCTGTGTTTGGTGATAGTGTAATTTTATCAGATGCTAACATCTGGAGTGAGCCATATCATGCATTAAGTCAACAGAAACCTCCCCCCTTTGGTAATTCGCATGTTCACAGAACTGCTCAGCAACTGAAATAAAGTCACTTACCTGACTCGAAGATTACGGCACAAATAAGGAGAGTGCTCAGCACCAGTTTCCCCTTCCACCCAAACAAGTTCACCAAAGGCATGATTGATCGGTGGATTATCAGAGTGATGCGTGGACTGTTAGTCCACGCAGTTCAACACGGACAGAGAGAACACACTGTAGAAACCAGAAGGAGGGAAGGAAAGAGAAGAGAGAGAAAGAGGAGGAGGAGGAGGGCCGAGCTCGCAAAGTGAGCGGTCAGCTGTTTACCAGAATCACACAAAATTCCTCCTCCTGAGAGTGGCATTAGTACCCCAAATTCCTCCTGACTGGCTCAATGGAGGCTTTCAAGCCTGTCCGGACCAATGAGGGTCTAGAGACACAGGCCCCTCCATGTTGAATCGCACAGCCTGTTTGCTTAGCTGCTGAGCTGCTGGATTGAAAGTTTGCTAGCAGCATGAATCTGGCCCACCGAAACACACCACACAGCCCAGACGGGGGCAGTGAGAAGGTTATTAAAAGCATTTGGTGCCCAATAAACCTTGTGTACTACACACAGTAATGGCCTATACACAGGTAAAACAAAACATAGCTTTAGCCTACATCTAATACACAAAACCAAACATAAAAAACTATACAACGCTTATCATGTTGTGATGCTGAGCTCTTTATTCTCTCACACTTATGAGTGTTTCATATGTCAAATGCTACACAATTATCTGCTGTGTAAATTAAAGCCTTCATTTTAGGCTTGACTTGACAATAAACAACACACTCTTTCAGTGGCCCACATTCACTTTCTCTATATTAACTGATTGCTCCCCATTAAATTACATGTTTCTAAAGGGGAAAAGAAATAAAAGTTTTAGATGTGTGATTATATCATGCTGTACCCAGTGGGAGCAATGTCAACCTCTCCTTTTGAGTGACTGGCTAAGCCACGATTTTGAACATGACACAGGTAAGCTGCTGTGAAAGGCTCTTTTGTTCCCAGTGAACTCTGGGTAGTGAGCCGTCTCTGGCTCTTTATCCAAGATTATGAGTGGAAGTGGACTTTTTTTTTTTTTTTAATATATCAACATATGCTGTAGAAAATTACTCCGGAATGTAGTTGTCTTGAAAACAGGATTATTTCTTTTTAATTAAGGAATACATTTACAACATGCAATTAGAAAACATGTACAGTTTTTGTTTTTTTATATTTACAATTTTAAACAACAAACAATTAATAAAGTGAATCTTTAAACAGGACAAGAACAAAAAATATGACACTTCACAAAAGGTTTTCTGTATCTACATTGTACATATTCTTCAGTCTAACACTATAAATTTATATTTATAAAAAAAAAAAACATTTCTCGTTCTCTAAAATCATAAAATTGTATAAAATTGCAATAAATTTTCACATTTTACAATTGATTTAAAAAGTGTAAACTTGTTATTTAGGTGTAATAAAAGTGTAATTATCTACGGGAACTTGTTTTAGCCCTTTTTTTCTTTTTCTTTTTAAATATGGGCGTAGGAACTTCTCTTATAGTAGATTTAGCAGCCCCGGGACATGGCTCTGACATTCATACAGAATATACAGGTAAATGTGATTAATAATGACATGAAAATGAGCAGGGAGTGGAGTTCAAATTTTTAAAAGTGTGCTCACAGATCTGTAACGATTCCTGTACACACATCTTTATGAAATGTCTGCATTCCCTGTTCTTTGCGCCTTGAACATCTGGAAAGTCCAAAAATATGTCAGGCAGCATTTCAATAATGGCAATAAAAATATGATAAATTACAAACTCCATCAACATATAATAAATGTCAGTATGAAATAAAACTTATAAAACAGATTGGCCCGTCTGTCCATGTGCCTGCACTGTGCCCCTGTCACCCTGACACTCTCAGACACTGAGAACTGAACACTGCAGAAACAGATCAGCACCGGTGCATATAAAACATCAGTTACAAACTCAAAGCAGTTACTCACTGTAACATCTGAATCAGTGTCTCTCCGCTCCAAAACAAGCTCAGAATTTTTCTTCTTTATCAATGTATGTTTTGGATGTATTGTCCATTTTGCTGCTGATGGTTTCAACACTCATCTGGTTGTTCCTGAGACGCTTCCTCTGAACACTGTTCCAAACCCCGTAGAAAAAGTAGATGAGTAACCCTGCAGAGAGAAGCGGGTGATTATTACAGTTCAGCAACTAACTCAATAAAAATCCTCTAAACCATTCGAGCAGAAATGTAGTCTTACCCACTAACATCCAGATAGCATATCTTAACCAAGTGTCTGCGCCTAACTGCACCATCAGGTAGACATTGATGAGTGTGCTCACTAAAGGCAGAGCAGGGAGTAAAGGCACCTATGAAATCAGAAAAAAAAGATGTGAAAAACTTTTCCAGTTGATGCTAACTTAAAAATAAACAAGATTCCCACATTTAAAATACTCACCATAAAAGATGCCTTGGTGGGATTCTGTGGGTGCCTCCAGATGAGGAAAAGGTGGACCAGCAGGATGCAGACAAAGATGCAGACAAGCGCCACACTCCATGCTTCCATACGGGACAGAGCATCAATGGCTTGAGTCAAGGTGATGCACAGTCCAACCACACATGCAACTGCAGAAAAAAAAAAAGATGAATGAGAGATGTGTGGCCTAGAGAGGCGAAGGTCCTGTCAGGAAAAGGTACTAGTGCTTAAGAGACATTTGAGAAGCCAGAAGTGCATCCATAATCTCTGATTTACCAGAGGTGATAGTCAAGATTGTGACTGTCTGTGAGGTGGATGAGTTGGGCGTTGACGGAGGGTTCAGGAAACCAAATTTGGTGTTTGATTCTATGATCTGCAGATCTGATTCTTCTGATGGACTCGGCTGGTACCTTGATTGCAAAGAAAAGAAATATGTAATATAAGTTTTGCTCAACATTCTGTGTAAAGGCGGCAGGAGAATATAAACTAATAAATGTACCTCAGTATTAGGATGCATATGGCCACGAGTGTGTAAGCAAACAGAGTGCCGATGGACATCATTTCCACCAAGGCTTCCAGGTCAAACAGCAGGGCCATGATGGCTAAAAGAGAAGAAATAGAGAATACAGAGTTACGTCAAGTTTCGGGACATGTACGCAGGGCCTTATGAACAGCTGGAACATCTGTACCTGCCACAACTCCAGATGTAATTGTAGCAATAGCAGGGCTGCCTTTAGCGGTGACTTTGGTCAGGGGTTGGAAAAGCAAGCCATCTCTTGCCATGGCGAACATCACCCTGGGCATCGGGAACATGGAACCCAGCAGGCTGGAGAGACAAAAACAAACACATCTACGTTTTTAATCATATATATTATGTCGTTTTATCTTGGTACAAGCGCCACTTGTTGGCAACTAGTTCAACAGAAGCACTATTAGGAGGCCTAATAAAACTTTTGACCTTGACAGATTTAGTTTTGAAAGTGCAGGGTCACTTTATGTTACAATGAATATATTTCACTGAAATCGCACTATTTTTTTCTTTCATTCTGTCGGACACTTCCTATTTGTAGGAAACATAACTAATCTTCATCTTCTTGGGCTATGCTGAGTTAGCAGTCAATTCACCAGGTGGCGATGCACACCATGTAGGAGCCTCAAATGCTTTCCAAGTTTGTGTGAAATTGATTACTTGAGTACATGTTGCTGCAGATCACACTTGGTTAGTTCCAAGAACTACAGCAGAGATTTTAGAACTGGAGCCTGGTGGAGCCACTGAAGATGTGTGACGGCTCTGTTAACTCTGTTAGCTCTGTGTTTATCTCATGTTTCTGAAACCTCGTGTGTGGGTGTGTCTTCATTACATATCTGTAATATCATGTTTCTTTCCTTCATCACACTGACTGATGTATTATGTATGATGGTGATGTATTATAGTCGACAAGTGGTATAATATCAGCAATGGTTCATTTAAGTCAGGATCTAACTGAGCACTAGCTTTGTATTTCCTTCACAAAGTAAAATCAGTGGCATGTTCTTAGATAATCTGTCATGATTTGAAGGCAATCCATCCATCAGTTGTTGAGATATTTCAGTCAAATGCTGGACTGACCAACTAACCATTAGAACCAACATAACAGTCCCTGGAGCCTGGTGCTAATGGCTAAAAAATGTAAAACAATTTCAGCCCATAAATTATACAGTCACATCACACAACTGTGACCCTGCTACCAGTGCGTTCTTACCTGGTGGACAGGGCACAAAGCGACCCCACAGCCACGGCATATCTGGCAGGACCCCAGCCGACGTAGTCAAAGGCCACTGGCAGGGGGCTTTTCTCACTGAGCATGTAGTAGGGCATCATCAGGGTGAGAGCAGCAGACACGGCAAAGTACGCCACGAAACAGATGAGTAGTGAGGCCACGATGCCCACAGGTACAGACTTCTGAGGGTTCTTCACCTCCTCACCTGTGGAGACCGATACACAGAGGTCAGGGACACTTTTAATGCTGTTTGTCACATGATGAGCATCATCCCACAAATGTGTCCGAAGTAGTTTTAAAGCTAAAGTAATACAAAGAATAGATGTAACATTTGTCACGTAATGTATTAATATTGCAGTTTGACAAAAGAAAGTCTTACTACAAGGTACCCAATCTCTGGAGCTTTCAAACACATCCCACGGCCTTCATTATGGAGATTTGGGTCATGTGATAACTAGTGGTTGTATATGATATGCTATCTCCCCATCATATACAACCACCTGTTATCACATGACTGGAAATCCACACTAAGGTCACATGATAACAACTAGACTATCTTCATGAAAACTAACCAAACTGTTTTGTCGCCGATGAAGACCATGAGATGTGGCTGAAAGTTTTGTAAATTTTTCAGTAGGTGGACATTTTTATTTTCAGGCCAAATCTGGATAGATATTATTGAACATTTTGTTGTAATATTTTGTACAATTAGCTGCTGAAATGAAAATTATTTAATTCATTGTAACATGCAAAATCCTTGCAGTTCAATCACAACCTGAAATACATGCTTAGAGTGCAACATTGGGCACACTTTTAAATTTCATTAAAATTGTATGGAACTTCACTGTTGTTCAATCTACTGTGTCAGTGAATATATACATTAAGCACTTTTTGTCTCATACTGGCTAAAGCCTATTTTAACTCTACTAACAATACAGAAACAGTCTGATAATGATAAGAAGACAAGTTGTCCTCTCACCCGTTGTAGCGATGCAGTCAAATCCAACAAAAGCATAGAAACACGTCGCAGCTCCAGCCAGGGTTCCACTGAAGCCATAAGGGAAAAAGCCACCCGTTCCATACACACTTGTTATATTGGCAGTAGAGCTCAGGTTTCTGCATGGAGGGAAACAGCATTACGATTATTTACAGTGAGATAACCAGGAGGTCAAACACAGACAGTATTGTATTGGTCCTTAACATTACTTGAGTTCGGCCGTGGCGTCAAGCAGAGCCTCTTCACTGATTTGCCAGTTTGAGATGTCTCCCTTGATGAACCCAGAGATGGTCACAAACAGCAGCACCAGGATGTTGATTGCTGTGAAGACCTTGTTGATTGTTGTTGACTCTTTCACTCCAAAAGCCAGCAGACCTTCACAGAAAAAAAATTAAAAAATGAATGATGAATGATTTTTGTATGTATTACTGTCACCACCATAACGACGCCACAGTGTCTTCGTATTACCTGACAGTATAAAGATGAGAGCTGCAGCAAAGACATCTGGGTAAGGTGCCAAACCAGGTAGGCCCATGGCTGCATTTTCTTCTAAGTATTTTGATATGACGCCCCCTATGAGGTCATCAAATGTCCCACTCCACGCCAACGCAACACTGGATGTGCCTGAAGAGATTGTGAGAGGAAAAAGCAATAAACTAATCAGCCTGAGTCACCACTTCACTGTAGTCATAAACAGAAAACACAGATGCCGATATTTCCTTCTATGCGCCTTTCACACTTTATGACTCAGTTGTTTTAAATGGCTTTATGGGGTTATTTACATGCAAGCAATGAATTTAACAAGCTGCGTTAAAAGCAAAACAGGATTTTGAGTGAGCACAAGCTCAAAGTGAATTTGCAAACTTGAACTTTTACTGTTAAAAGAGCCATTATGAATTTCCTTCCACAGCTGGTGAAAGGTCACGGATCGTTTAACAGTCTCATGTTGATGGTTGATCATTTATGGGTTTTGTTGTTCTCAGTGAACCAAACGTGTTACATAAGAGGATAGTATTTGTTTCCTGTCAGAGGATGAAAGCAAGTTTTAGTCATATATTAAGATTAAGACACAGAGTAAGTTCAAATAATATTTTCTTGTCTTATTTGGCAAATAAAGGCAAAAACAAAAAAAATCACCTTTGATTCAACACAATAATTATTAGAAAAGTAATACTTCTCATGAACTAAGATATTGAATAACAGACTTAATTATCTATTTATATTACAATTGACAAACAAATTCTGTGTATCGCACTTGCCTATGACGTAGGAGAGCAACAGATTCCAGCCAGTGATAAAAGCCAGCAGCTCTCCAACAGTCACATAGCTGTAAAGGTATGCTGATCCTGTTTTGGGAACCCGGGACCCAAACTCTGCATAGCACAGCCCGGCAAATATAGAGGCCAGAGCAGCGATGAAGAAGGAGACGATGATGCTGGGCCCTGCAGTGTCTCTGGCCACCTCTCCAGACAGGACGTAGACCCCGGCTCCCAGGGTGCTGCCCACACCGAGGGCCACCAAGTCCAGAGTGGTCAGGCATCGGTTAAACGTGGACTGCTCCCCCTCAGGCTCCAGGGGCTTCCTCCGAGACAGGCTCACCAGAAAGGACTTCACTGCGCCGCACGGCATGCTTCTAGGGGGTTTGGATCAGGATGAGGAAAGATGAGGGAATTATATAGGAAGAGACAGGTGGGAGTGCAGTGTGATGATACTGAGAAAGTGGGAGTAAGTGGAAGGTAGAGTGGGGGGGAGAGGAGAGGGCAAGGAATGGGTGGATCAGTTAACATGTCAGTGAATAATTGTCAGGTCAGCCCCATGTTAGAACATTTCCTCTTCAGTGAAACATATTCAAATTGAACTCAGACTATATATTTATACATTTTATTTTTTTAGTGTAACAGTGGCTTTACAGACACAATTCAAAATGCTTTATATAATAAATGTAACTGAAATGGCTTATTGTAATAAATTTGAATTAAGCATAATAGAAGAAAGAATTCACTCACCTTGTCTGTGCAGTCCCCTGCTTCACAGGTGTGCTTAGAAGAGACAATTAATAGGACCCGTCATTCCCTTAAATCACATTATTCTTTTATATGTGCCCTTCTTTATCAACCCCCTGATATGATAGTGCTGATGCCTGGAGTTTTCATTGCCGCCCACAACGCAGAAAACAACGCCCTGCTCAGGGACTGTACTTTACTCAACCTTCAGTAACTTACACAATTACTTCCTTGAACATTTCTGAGGATAGCTGAAGATTTGATTTTAAGTCATTATTTCCCTGGAAATAAAAAAAAAAAAAATGTTTTGTAATTTTGCAAAGTGTGTTCTCACCTCACCAGAGCAGTATCATCCCTCCTCTCAGGGCTACTTTAGCTAAAACCAGATGAAAAAGTAAAATTAAAAACACACATAAAGATGGGGTCTTACCTCCGATCACACACTGTGCTGGAGCAAAAAGGTTTGTACAAAAAGGGTGAACTCATGTGAGTAACTCATGATTTTAATGTAAGTGAGAGCTGCTGTGCATTTGATAATCTTTTCATGATTATGACTTCAAGATAATCCGAGACTTTAAGTTACACATTCTTCTATGACTTTGGAGTTTGTCCTTCGTTAAATGGAACCAGTAAGAAAAAGTCTGAATGTGGCAATCATAGAAACTGAGAAAAACAAACTACACATTTTTTACACATACTTTATCTCCAGTACGGTTATTTCCTATAGAGTGAAAGTGTGCAGAATTTTTCTTATCAGACAATACATAATGCAAAACATAACACTATACTGTTTGTGTTTACATTTATGTGTTGCTTAGAAACAAGACCATGAACTTATCACTGCAGCTGTGTTGGAGTTTGCCTGCTTGCCCTCAAAAAGCCCTGTCCCCATCTCTACCTGGAGGTGTGAGCCTGCCACACTAATGGCCCTGTGAGTTAATGAAACAGTGGAGGACAAAGCAGCTTTCATGGCTTATGCATGCAGCAGGCTGCACACTTACTCTTTGAGAGGTAGCTTTCGCCTTCTCATCTCCCATCAGGGGATTTCAGCTCACCTAATCCCTTCTGGCATCTGCTTCAGCAGGCAGGAGGCGAGTGGGAAACGCAGCCTGTGTGGACGGTCAAAGTACCTTTGACCAAACTTAAAGCTCAGGCTTCGTATCTGCAGATCGTCCTGGCTGAGATACCGTTTTCAGAAGTACAATGGGGTAATGCTTATCTAAATGACAGCTACTATGCACGTGATGTTCACCTTTATGATAGGAGGGTTGATCTTGATCACGGTGAAGCTCAGTTAATGTTCATTAATGTGCTATTTTATGGCTGCACTGTGCATTTAAAGACACATCTCAGATGCAGCATTAAAGATAAATATTACTGTCCGACATTAAAAGCAAAGCACATGGATTTGAATTTGTCTTGCTGATGGTAATTTCATTCAGTAGATACACAAGTTCTTCATACCTTGTCTGCAGTCCCACGAGGAGTGACTGGTGACTGTGAGTAGAAAACAGCGCAGTGAAGCAAAAACATCCGTGCTGTTGACTTGGATGAAGGAAACATGATTTTTACTGCGATATATACAACACTGGCCTGTGTGACCCTCCCACTCAATGGAATTACTCACAAAGTAGCCTTTCTCACTCCCGACCAGTTTGGATCATAATGTGCTCATTATTGCATGGAAGGCACAGGGTGAGAATTGTGAACAGCAAATCCTATTCAGAATGTCAAAAATGCTTTTGTGCTCGCTTCATTTGTTATTTTATTTTTTGCTTTCATAAGTTTTGATTCCATACTTTCAAATGCCTATCGTTGGTTAGATTAGTTAAAAAATAATGTGAACTAATGGATTCAATCAACACTTTGATGATCAGAATACAGTTTTTAATGTAAATGAATAACCTTATTTTATGCCCTCGGGTTTGTTGGTGATTATATTTGGACTGGTCTTAAGCAATTTTCCCTGCTCCGCCTGAAATACAGTGAGGTTCTCGTGATCAGTGTGCAATGCATTTTCAAAGCAGAAGAGGTCAGTATACAACAGTAACATTTCATCACTAAAGCCTCCCACCTCTAACTGTGTTTACCTCATATGGTCCCCTCTCACTCTGAGCACCGATGGATGGAAAGTTGAAGGATAATATGATATGAAGACATAAGAATAAGGGAAAACAGGTCAAACAACCATATTTCCTTGATATTCTGGGTACAGCATGAACACTTCAGATAGAGGCATGCTTAAAAAAAAGGGTCATTCATGTTGTGAGTGGAGGTCAGGTGATGTGAGGGAAACACTGTAACCACAAAGCAAAGCGAAAGCTATGCCACCGGGGTGGCCTTCCGGTCAGGATGAAAGTCATGTGTCATGCCTCTGCTAGTAAGTGTGAGCCTGGATCCTCTTCCTCCTCTCTCATCTCTCACTATCAGGGTCAAATTATTTCTAATAGCAAGCATGAAGTTAATTTGTATCACCCTCTGTGTTTCCTGTCACAGCACCACAGGGAGTTTATGGGATATTTTGAGTGGTAGTTTCATTCATTTTATATTTTGGGAATTTTGCCTTCATTCTGCCACAATGCTGACATGGTCTTGCTCTCTCTCTCCCTCCCCCCTCCCCCCTAACTATGCTGGTGTCTCTCCCCCATTTACTGGAATAGACGCCTGACAGGCCAGAAATAGAGCAAACTGACTCCCACATCAGTGCCAGCAACCTCCCCTCTCTTAGAATCACATTTGAAGTTTGTCTTATGACAAAGTTCACAGGCTAAATTCCAACTCTAGAGTGAAAGTGGACTTTCTCCAAGAATAAGGTGATGTTTAACTGCTGCTTCACGTCTTTAAGTTGCCTGTAAATGTTTTTAAAAAGAGGTATATGCCTTGACTATTTGTCTGTAGGTTGAATACATGCTGGAAAGGAAGCTGCTGGTGGTCTGCGTCAGACGCTGCAGCAGTTGCAGAAAAAGGTGTGCTTAAAAGTGTGCGTAATTCAAGCGCGCAGCCCCTGTCTGTTAGATTTCATGTTACCCGGTCACATAGGTTTTAAATAGTCATTTCTTTACCGTAAGATTTTGCCTAGCTGCATTCTCTCTCTCTCTCTCTCTCTCTCTCTCTCTCTCTCTCTCTCTCTCTCTCTCACACACACACACACACACACACACACACACACACACGCACACACATACTGTAGAGAAGCTGCGCGAGGGAGCGCTGCAGTCGTTGCGTCACAGAGGACACGTAACGGGACGGCTTGAGTCTGACCGGAGGAGACAGACAGGCAGACAGACAGACTGACTGGGTTAGCGTGGACAGAGCAGAGACAGCAGGACCACTTTCACCCAGCACCGACACGTCCTGCACAGAGAAGGTAAGCAGTATTTTGCAGTATCTTGTGATTCTTCCTCAGTCTGATCTCAGAGACGATATACTGCGTTAGAAACACACCGGAGAAGTTTGCTGATTCATTATTGAATGTGCCAATGAATTGCAGCAGCCAGCAATATACCCCTGATGTGATTAAATAAGTGAATATGAGAAATAGGTAGATCAGTGTACGTAAAACTTGCTTTTTTTGTCCCGAGCAAAGCTTAAAGTTAAAGAAAAAAATCAATAGTTAGTTATCAGTCTGTAAAGCTTCTTCTACAGTGTGGGGTCCAGAAGAAGGGTGTGGCTCTGATTATATAGAGGCCCAGTCCCCCCAGACCTTGATTCTGACATCAAGTTAAACTGTGCATGCTATTTTTGGAGAGCTTCTCTTCTGTCTTAAACAAACAGTGCAGCATTTAAACCCAGCATGGATTTTTTTTCCTCTTTTTCTCTGTGGAAAACCTGAACAAAGTCTACATGTGTCAAACAAAATGTGTGCTTTCAAACTGATATTATCTGGATCTTATTTCATCCATTCATTGTAACTCTACAATCTGAAATTCTGAAATATAGTAAGTGAAAGTTAGCTGAACTCCTTTCTCCACAGTAGCTGTGCCTCCATATGCCCAACTTGTCTGAATGGCTGCATTATAGGTTAGAGTGTCTCAGTATGGAAAATGTGACTGAACAGTTTTCCTGCCAGCTGGTTTAATGCAAATTCCACCGCTAAGATTTCATTTTAGGTGATTGTGAGGTCAAGTCTAACAGAAAATGGTCTCCCTGTTCAGGTTCTGGCCCTGTGCTGCTGTGCTGTTGCTCAGAATTACTGTGTGTAGTGATCAGTTTTAAACAGCTGTCAGGCCAGAGACTGGACAGACCACCTCATTAGATTCGCTCAGGAAAGGAGAGATCATCATCATCATTGTGTCTCTTTGCAACACACATTAGAGGGGAATGACACCTTCACTAGGGCACAGATGTTTTGCATTGCAGCTATCAGGTCCTACATCAGCATTTCTCTCTCTCTCTCTAGGCCCGAAACTATTGATTCCTGCACAGTGTTGACACAGAAGACCAAATATAGAGATGGTAAGTAGACTGGACCTTTCTCATTTTGCGGTATATGGAGTATATTATACTGCTGACCGGATCCTGTGTCTTTGGTACATGGATGGTTTAGTGTACCATTGAATGAGGTGTGGACAGAGTGAGGTCATTTTTCTGCCACCTGCCACCATGTGAGTCCTCCCCCATCATAAAGGCAGCAGTGTAGGGTGTCATTGCTACCTGTGGCTCCTGCACATCTGATAGACACACCTGACAGCATCTTTCCAAAGTCAATGGGAGAATCATTTAAACCT